AAAAAAAAAAAGAGGTTTTTGCAGAGGCTGAGAAGAGCTAAAGGTGGCCTAAGTGTTAGCAGAGGACATAAGTGTTAGTTGAATATACAGTATAATCTGGAGTCCATGAAAACAGGAATTACTGATACATTAAATGTGGTAGGTAAGAGAAAGAGAATTAAGAAAATACCTGGTGTGGGGCCTTAAGGATTTGGATGATGACATGGGGAAGACTTTGAAAGAATGAGGTTTAGAAAGGTATAAGGCTACAGTTCTAGCTCCAATGGCCATGAGACTTCCCAGCAGCCACATTGAGTTTGTAGAGTAAATGAATCCCAGTAACTTGTATAGTTATTCCTCCTACTACACATAAGACAAAAGCCAGAAGTTCCTTGAGAGCACAGGATATACTCTATATAACTTTTGCATTCTTGCTATTTTTTTTTTATTGGAAACAGAGTCTCACTTTGTCACCCTCAGTAGAGTGCCATTGGCATCACAGCTCACAGTAACCTCAAAATCTTGGCTTAAGCGATTCTCCTGCCTCAGCCTCTCAAGTAGCTGGGACTACAGGCACCCTCCATAACACACAGCTATTTTTAGAGACAAGGTCTGGCTCTGGCTCAGGCTGGTCTCAAACCTGTGAGCTCAGGCTCCACCCACCTCAGCTGGTCCCAGAGCATTCTTGGTATTCTTAGCATAATGACAGACCTAATGCCTGTTCAATAAAGACTTGCTAAACTAAATTTCATTCAACCAGGCTTGACCAGGCTCTGTAGGGCAAACAGGACTTCTGATGGACTTCATAAAGTTTGCGTAAAACAGAAAGAAAAATGAGAATATTTCAGGTTAGAGAATAGTAGAAGTACAAGATAGATGAATACAGAGGTTGACATGCTTGGAGTAGGACACACCAGATGCCAAGATACACATTCCAGCAGGAGGATCATGTTACAGCCTCACATCCAATTGATCAGTAAATCCTCTTGGCTCCATCTTCAGAAAATTTCCATAATCTGACTCCTTATCACCTCCACTGCTACCTATCTGGTCTAAGTCCTATTATCTCTCATACCCAGATCATTGCAATAGCCTTCCAACAGGTCTTCTGGCCACACTCTTGACCCCATAGAGATTATTATCAACACAGAAACTAGACAAGCTTTGCTCACAGTAAAATATAGGTCATCCCCCTGACCTGCAAGGTCTTTCCACCCCCCACTTCCTTCTGTGACCTTACCCAATGCTACTGTCCCCTCACTCCCTCCATCAAGGCCCCACTAGCCTCTTTTTTTTAAATTTTTTTAGAAACAGAGTCTCACTTTATCGCCCTGCGTAGAGTGCTGTAGCATCACAGCTCACAGCAACCTCAAACTCTTGGGCTTAAGCAATTCTCTTGCCTCAGCCTCCCAAGTAGCTGGGAGTACAGGCGCCCACCACAATGCCTGGCTATTTTTGTGTTTAGCAGGCCCTGGTCCAGTTCGAACCTGCCTGACTCAGTGTATGTGGCTGGCACCCTAACCACTGAGCTTCAGATGCCGAGGCTAGCTTCCTTTCTAATCCTCTACACACCACACACGTCCCCACCCCAGGGTCTCTGTGCTTGCTCTTTCCTCAGCCCCTCCCCTCCCCATGGCTCACTCCTCAGCTATTCCAGGTCCTCACTAAATAACAGCTTCTCAGTGAAGCCTTCTTTGATCAGCCTCCTTTACAATGAAGTTCCCATCCCTCTGTCTCTGCACTCTCTATCCCTCGACTCAGCTTTATTTTTTCTCTCACAGCAATTAGCACCATCTGAGGTGCTGAATGTTTTACTGACTTTGTGTTACTCACTGCTGCCCCCTCAGTTTCTACAATAAGCACATTTTAGATGTTCAGCGAATATTGGTTTAATTAAACAATCCACAAATTCCTTGGGTTTCTAGATTATCTGCAGCAAAAAGAAATTCAAACTGAGACTGAGCACTTGGGGTCACAGGAGGCACGTGCCCAGGGTCCTGTGGACTGACTCACATACCTGCATTTTCTGCCTTTTCCAAAATTGCTTCCCTCACATTCATATGTAGAAGACCTAACCCCCAGTACCTTAGGATATGACTAGTTAGAGAAAGATCCTTTAAAGAGGTGCTTAAGTTAAAATGAGCCCATGGGCTCAGCGCCTATAGCTCAACCGGCTAAGGCGCCAGCCACGTACACCTAAGGTGGCGGGTTCGAATCCCCAGCCCGGACCCGCCAAACAACAATGA